ATTAAAATGTAGCCCAGGGGAACAGACAGCCCTGCATTTTTATTTTAGGACTTGGCTTATTTCTGACACTAGCTGATGCCAATGAAGAAGCTGGTCCATGGCCTGATTAATCTTAAGAAAACAATCAGAGTGACTTTATACCCTTCTTCTCTGAGAAGGGCAAAGGACACCATGCAGTGCACCAGGCATCGTGACATCATGAAATGAAAGTTAAAGGTTGGAAGGCTTTGTTTTCTAAGACTGTAACCATTCCAGAATTTTGTTTTTAAGCTTCTTTAGTACAAGGTCAGCAGTTCAAACACACCAGCATCTTCAAGGCAGAAAGATGAGACTGTCTGCTGTTAAACCCTATGGAGCAGTTCTACTCTGTCCTGGGACAGTTCTACTTGTCCTAGAGGGTCAATATGAGTAGGAAAACCCATATGGGTAGTGGTTTTAATGTTGGCTTAGTACAAAGGAACCAGGTCTATCCAACAAATATTTGTGGTGTGTAGTGGTGGTGGTCAGGCAGTAAAATCCATCTCTGAGATCTGGGCAAAGGACACCATGCAGTGCACCAGGCATGTTCTCAGGTTAGTAAAATGCATACCTGGGCTTCAGTGAATCATAGGATCTTAAACTCTGCAGTTAATCCTTATTATGCATCATCATCTTTTATATAAGAATCCCAAAGGCAGTCATTCTTACAATTATATAATTTGGTAGCAAATTTTGTAGAATGGCAGAAAGGCATTTTGTGTATATTTCCATAAATCATTCTCCCTATTCTCAAAAACTCACTGCCATCGAGTTGATTCTGACTCACGGCAACCCCCAAAGGAGAGTGTAGAATTACCCCTGTGGTTTGCTAAGACGGCCAACCTATAGGGGAGTAGAAAGCCTCAGCTGCTGATGGTGTCCAATGGCTGTTCTTTTGGTTAGCAACCCAACTGCTCCCTATCAGTCCAAATCAACTCAAGGGCAGTGACTTGTTTTATTCTCCTTGTAATGCCTAGGAACTACATTGAGCTACAGGTGGTTCACGCCGCTGACCTTGAAGTCAAGAAGCTCAATGTGTAACCCACTACGCCTAACCATCACTTGAAAACCAAATCCAATGCACTGCCATGGAGTTGATTCCAACACATGGTGACCCAATAGGACAGAATTGCCCCTGTGAGTTTCTGAAACTCTAACTCCTTACAGGAGAAGAAAGCCTCTACTCTCTCGAGCAGTGGCTGATGGTTTCAAACTTCAAATCTTTCGGTTAGCAGCCCAACATATAACCATTATACTACAAGGGTTCCTTAATCACCACAATATAGTTCTATTCTCCTGGGTTAACTGACTTGCCAATTCCAGTACACAAGTCAGTATATATTAGAGTTGTTTTTGCATTTTTCTTAATTGGAAAACATCTTTGATGTATATATGACATATATACATACATACCTTTATGTATGCAGACATATATTTAAACATACATATCTACCCTGGCTTATAGGATTGCTGTGAGTTGGAATCAACTGAATGACAGTGAGTTTGGTGGGGTCATTTGTTTTTAATAAAAGCCGGAAGGCTTTTGATATAGATTTCTGTTAAAAGAAAATGATGTAATTTAAGAGTAGAATTTTAGAATCACATGAATAGGATTCCCATCTGAAAAACACCTCATAGGAGGGACTGGGTGGAAAAAAAAAAAAAGATGGTCGGCTTAGAAGTCTAGTGTTCCTCCCAGACAATTTACTCAGACCTAATTACCCACTCATCTATCTTTGAATTTCAAATGGACCACCCACTGTCACCACCCCCAGAGAGCTACATCATTCTCTAAAAATCACTTGTAGAATATAATTAACTTTCTGGGAAGTGTCAAAACTGGTTAAAAATATCATCGGATGTTACCTTAGTTTAAAACGTTCATCTGCATCGGGGGAGTGAAGCAGCTCAGGGTTTGCCAACTCAACTAGGAGAGCTTTGTTTTGACCACCTCAGGGCTTCCTACCACCCCAAAGCCTGTGCCATTTTGCAAACCCTATCATTTTGCATTCCATACTCCTAAAAGCCACAAGAGCCAAGTGGTCTCTACTACCATGGAAAGCTTGTGACACTCACACTCCACCCAGGCTGGCTGCAAGGACCAGACCTCCCAAATGACTGGGCACCAAACCATGCTGCCACTGAGGCCATGGGTCTAATTAGGCTAAGACACACTTTTAATTAACATGAGTATATCAAACCAATTTACAACTTGGGAGTGTGATTATGGGCTTAGACCAATTTACACTCACTCTGATTCATCATTATGCTGTTCATCAGAGGCACTTCAGAGCCAGCTAGCATTCTTTAAGGTTTTGGGGGGTTTGTTTTGTTTATTTTGTTTGTTTGTTTTTTAACCAGGGCAGAATGTGTCTTCAGAAGATTAGCTAAGTAGTATTGCTGATATTCAATGTGGATGATTAGGTTACAAATAGCATTTCCTTAAATTAAGACATCTTAGGTATATCTTTTAATGGTTTTATTTTATTATTTGTTTGTGTCTGAATTTTTAAAGTTGGGCATTCATCATCTTTTTTCAGTATTTAAAAGATCCTACTAAAAGTATTTTAATTATAGGTTTAGCATATATATGTATATGTCGCTGGTACATATATATACATGTATATATTTCTAGCTTTGGTAAATATATATACATATAAATCCCTATATACATACATACACATATAAACACACATGTGCTCCATATTTATGGAAAGAGAGAGTAAGTGCTTGCACCCTGGGGGCATAGTGCACGAGAAAGATGATCTTCCTACTCCCATAAAGAGTTACAGTCTCAAAAACCCACAAGGGCAGCTGTACCCTTCCTATAGGATCACTATGAATTGGCATTGATTCGGTGGCAGTGAATTGGTTGGGTGGTTGATGGCATAATGATACTATGTTTGGCTGCTAACTTCAAGGTCAGCAGTTTGAAATCACCAGTCACTCTGAGGGAGAAAGATGAGGCTTTCTACTCTCATAAATAGTTAGTCTCAGAAATGCACAGGGGCGGTTCTACTCTGTTCTACTGGGGCTATATGAGTTGGAATCCACTCAATGGTAGTTTGGTTTTGGGCTTGATATGGTAAATAATGTATATGGGTGTGTTTGTGGTACAAAAATAGGCCCTTCCATTTTCATTTTATTCTCAAAAGTGTCTATGATCAAAAACAACCCCTCACCTACAGAATGAAAAAATTTAAAGTTGCAAACCATTGATGTAGTGTTGTACGGTCTAAGAAAATAGCCACGAGCCACACCTGGCTATTGAGCACTTGATATATGGCAAGTGCAAATTCATACGTACTCTTAAGTGTGAAATACACACTGGATTTTGAATAACTAACATGAAAAATAAGTAAATTCACCAATAATTTGTACTTTAATTGCACGATGAAATAATATTTGGGAAATAAACAACCTAACCCCCTGCCATCCAGTCAGTTGACTCATAGAGACCCAACAGAACAGGATAGAAAGTGGCTGACTGCTCCCAGTCTCAAAACCCCAGAGGAGCATCTCTACTCTGTCCTACAGGGGCACTGAGGGTCCAATTCCACCTCGTGGTCAAGGGTTTGCACAGCTGTAAATCTCAGTGGAAGCAGATTGTCTCTTTCTCCCACAGAGCGGCAGGAGGGTACCAACTGCCATGCTGTCAACAAGGGTGCATAAAAACATTGTAAGCAGTTATTTCACCTGTTTCCTTTTGTTAATATAGCTACTAGGAAATTAAACACACACACACATGCAGATCACACTATATTCCTATCGGGAGTTCTGGAAAAGAATCAGAACTTGATCACAGTCATAGTGTTAATTCCATGTGGTCCCTACAAGCAAAAGCTTTCATAGTAATTCAACATTCGGATTCTAAGAGAGGTGACAGCAAACTACCAACTGCACTTAAACGTCATAGGGTAAAAAGCATAGATTTAAACTATTCTCACCCAAACAGCTCAGCATAATATTCCTTAGAGAGTCATGCATTTGGAAGAAGTCTCTGAAGCCCACAGGGAGTCACATCCATCCATATTTGCAGATAAATCATGACGCATTTTGATAAAAATCTTTAACAAGTTACTCGAAGCAAACTTCCCTCTCAGTTCATCAATGAGATGCTGAGTTAAAAATGCCAAGAAGAGTCGTGGCAAACATTCATGATGAAGCATCCCAGGAGAAATCGGGTCAATTATTAAAGGTATATGCATTTTAACATGAATCATTAAAGGTATACGCACTTCAACATGATTCTAATCTAATTAGTCCTCACCAATGCTTGTGCTGGGCACTGCCACCCCACAGAGGTGAAGACAGATTCGGAAATAGTGCCCTTGGAGAACAAGAGCTCTGCCTCATTCTCTGCTGTGTACCTGGAGGCTTAAGCTCTGCCTGGCACATAGCAGGTGCTCAATTGCCTGCTAAGATGGCAATTCCTGACGCCGGCAGCGGTGTTTCTCAGCTCCAAAGTGATTCTAATCCCACTGTCCTGGCTTTCCCCCCAAACTTTATGTTGACACAGAGATGTGCCAACTTATTTTTAATTCTCATCACAATTCAATGAAATGTAAATATTTTTATTCTCTGTGTCAGTCCGCTTTTTGTTGTTGAAAGCAAACTAATGTAAACTCATGCTCCCTACTTTAAAGCATTATAACTGCCAGGGTGCCAGCAACCCCTCCTATTTGGGAGAAGACTAAATGCACGGCACAAACGCGAAGTGGCATCGGTTTCGTTCAAGTTGGGGGCGCCGGACGAGTCCCAATGACTCTCACGCCCCAGCGCGCTCCTACTCACATACCACAGAAGGGTGCGCCTGCTGCTTCTCCCCGAGCCTAACCTGAAGGTCTGCGAGGAGCTCGCCCTCGGTCCCCACCCTTTTGCCGCCAGGCCCCGGACAATATTTCGTCCCCACGCCCCCAAAAGTAAAGCAAAGCTAGCACACTCGTCCCAGAGCCTGCCCGGTCCCCACCGCTGCCATTTACCGTCTTGTACCACCAGCTTGCGAATGCCATGGCGAGAACCGAGCCGATTCGCTCCGGCGCTGCGCAAAGGAAGACCCGACGGGGGTGCGGGGCACGGTGCGGGGTCGCGGGGCTCACACACACTCTGCCAGCCCCGGACTTGGCTGGCACTGAGCTAGGTA